GGGAGTAGAAGTTACGTACTTAAAAAAGGAAAAAAGTTACATGATGACTTTCCAAAAGAAAGTTACGTGATCTCACATATGCGAAATAGATGGGATCATGGAATGAGTGGAAATTACGGAGTATTAAAGCTCTAACAGTCGAACGGTAGTTCTAAGCAAAACGTTAGTACGTCCGTTAGCCATTGGTTGAAGCAAACTTAATCAAAGGTGGAGATGCATTCTTATTTCTCTCATAAGATGCTATTCTCATTTGATCTCTACTCTCTCTCTCTCTCTACATATATATATATATATATATATATAGATTAGGTTCATGTGAGAACTTAATCTTAGGAGAGTAAAAAAGAGTAGATTTGAGCCATTGGATGAAGCATCTATTTTAATTTCTAATAAATTTTAATTTCGTAGAGCGCAATTAGGTGATTTCTCCTAATACTTAATGCACTCTGTTTCTTTCCAAAACGGTCACCCATAATTCTCTCTCTCATCTTTACCATTTTACATGACTCCATTTATTTTATTTTCAATTTCTCTTTTGCACATGTTTGGTTCGTCATCTTCATAAATTATTTCTTTTTTACTTCAATTTTTCAATGGACATCAGAAATTACAACTTTCCATTCACCTTTATTGAAGTTTATGTACGACACTTCATAATCGTTTTCTTTTGGGTTTGTTAGTGTTAATTTTTTTTACTCAGGTTATTTAATTAATTTTTTCATTAGTACTTTTATTATTTATTTTAATTTATTAAACCGTTATCACAACTAATCATTTGAGAAAGCTTGCAATGACTCGAATTAACCGATGACCGAAATTGAAATCAACACTTCCCTTCGCCATTCCTTAGCTTTGAGATACGATACTAGGAGTTAATTTTTTCACATGGAACTGTTACTCCGTTTTACTACAACGCCGAGAAATCGGGGTTATCACTAATGAAAATACTTACTAAGCATTTAAAAGTTAATTAATGAAATATCATAATATTCCAAAATATCATTTCTATCTTATTAAAATATGCTCCGTATAATGATACTCCAGATTTGTTTTTTGTATGGTACATTTGGTATATAATTTGACACGATTTTTATTGTTAAACAAATAAGTAGATTATAAACGTACATCGGAATACACCTCAAATGATGGCGGTCGGACGTAGGGTTTTGCCCGGATAAGATCTTTTCCAGCATAGATATATACTTCGATAGTTAGATCCCTGAAGACTCACAATTAAATTAATATTTTAAGCACAGTCTAAACATTGACACTTAATTTCCCAAATTAAAGTCATGCATGTTACATTACTACAATAGAAACCAGTTTTTGAATGCTTCATGTTAGAAGCTCTAGCTAGTCACATACTAAGTAGCTACTCCAGCTTTCATCCGCCTCCAACCCATCCTCCTTATTTATGTTTTGGGGTCCACTCATGTTGTTCACCATTACCTTTGATGTCGTTGATGCGGAAGCCGGCGAGGCTCCAAAGAGGTTTGCCATAAAACTGATTTCCTCGTCATAGGATTCGGCCATGAGCGGTGGCCACTCACGGTGTTCGTTCTGCTCGCCGGGCGGGATTATCGCCGTCGACGAAGACTGCTGATTGTTACCATCATGGGCGTCAATGTTGTTCTGTTGGGACGAACTGGGTGGGGCAAGGATGAGGGAGCCGCTGAAGTATTTGCACTTGATATAGTTCTCTAGAACCGTAGGTCTCTTCTTATTGATTAGGCCGCCACTCTCTTTGGGTTTTCTCTTCGTGAACTGCCGCCTCTTGGTGGCGTTCCAGTGATTCTTGATAAAGTTCTCCGACCGGCCCGGAATACACCTTGCGATCTCCGACCACCGGTTCCCGAGTAGCTCATGTAATACAACCAGCCGCCTCTCCTCTTCCTCCGTGAATGGGTTTTTCTGCAAATTATTGGTTATTAAAATGCATAAAATTAAAAAGTGAAGAAAAAGCTACAACTCGAAAATAATTGGAAAAGAAGATTTTAAAAATGAAAAATGGCCCAAACGATCCTAGATAAATAGGTTTACTACTCGGCCCGTCCCGACCTATTGTCATGCCTACGTTTTCAAAAGAGAATCTGTCAAAGAAGGCTACGTAAGGGAAGAAAATATTGTATATTCACTTGTGTTTTGGAAGGATACATCGGTGGAATTATATACATCAACGCATGTGTTCATGCGGCTAGACTATCGAGATTACAGGAGGAAAAGAAGGAAAGAAAATAAGTGCTATATAACTTCCCATCTAGGTAAAACACTACTAAGTACGTACAAAAAATGTGACAAAAAATAAATGTACATATAATATCTTCAACACCCCCCCTCAAGATGGAGCATGGGGGTTGTAAATGCCCATCTTGCCAAGTAAATATGAGAATTGTTGAGCACCAAGGGATTTAGTAAACAAGTCTGCCGGCTGCTCGGTGGTGGAGGTATAAGAGGGAATGATGGTGCCAGCCTGAATATGATCCCGAATAAAGTGGCAATCAAGTTCTATATGCTTGGTGCGTTCATGATAAACCGGATTAGAAGCGATATGTAGAGCGGCTTGATTGTCACAGTAGAGTTGCACGGGCGCAGTTTGGGAGACCCCCAAGGAACGAAGTAGATTGCGTAACCAAATAAGTTCGCAAGTCAGCGAGGCCATAGCCCGATATTCTGCTTCAGCTGAGGAACGTGAAACAATTGCTTGCTTTTTGGTGCGCCATGATACCGGAGAGGATCCCAAGGAAACGAAATATCCTGTGACTGACCGACGTGTGACAGGACAACTAGCCCAGTCGGCATCGCAGTACCCACGAAGAGAGAGAGATGAATCCGATCGTAATAGAATACCCTGGCCCGGACTGCCCTTAAGATAGCGTAATACACGAAGTACAGCTTCCCAATGTGCCACCTTGGGAGTTTGCATAAATTGAGATAGTATATGAACAGAATAACAAATATCCGGCCTTGTCAACGTCAAATAAATTAATTTCCCAACAAGCCTTCTATACCGTTCAGGGTCGCGGAAATCGGGACCAGAGTCAGACTGAAGCCGATGGTTTTGCACCATGGGAAACGCCACTGGTTTGGACCCAGACAGCCCGGTTTCTGCCAATATATCGAGTACATATTTTCGTTGGCATAAAAAAATTCCACTTGGATTACGTGCTATTTCGATGCCCAGAAAATATTTCATCACTCCGAGGTCTTTGACCGGATAAGTGGCTGCCAGAAACCTTTTAAATTGGATGATCATATCTCGGTCATTGCCAGTTACTAACAAATCGTCAACATAAATAAGAATGCATAATATCCGATTTTCCTTGCGCAAAGTGAACAAGGAATAATCGGCATGAGATTGAGAAAATCCATATGCACGTAAGGATTCGGTGAGTTTAGAGAACCAACACCGCGGAGCTTGACGGAGGCCATACAACGAACGGAGCAGCTTACATACCTTGCCAGAAGAAGATGTGGAATATCCCGGCGGCAAGTGCATATAAACTTCTTCATTTAGATCCCCATGCAAGAATGCGTTGTCCACGTCCATTTGATGCAACTCCCAATGACAGGCGGCGGCCACCGCTAAAATGGTACGAACCGTTACCATTTTTGCAACCGGGGCAAAGGTCTCACCGTAGTCAATGCCCTGCACTTGTCGATTTCCACACACAACCAGCCGTGCTTTATATCGTTCCACCGATCCATCACTTTTATATTTGATTTTGTAGACCCATTTGCAATAGATAGCTTTCTTGCCGGGTGGCAAGTCCTGGATCCGCCACGTCCCCGTTCGCTCCAAGGCTTGAATTTCCCGAGTCATAGCATCCCTCCATCGTGGATCACGAACTGCCTCCCCAAAGCTAGTTGGTTCCTTAGTCAAAGAGAGAGCTGCAAGAAAGGCTCGGTGCGGGACCGAAAAGTGAGCATAATTTACATAATGAGATATAGGATAAGGATTACCTGAGTCAGCCGTTAAAGTGGGATACCGATGAGGGTTTATTTTGACCGTGTTCATCTGTACGTCGTAGTCCTTATGCCATGCTGGTGTATGTCGGGTACGTAACCCGCGTCGTGGATTGCCTGCGTCAAGAGGAGGAGTCGGTCCAGGTGAGTGTTCGGCATTATGATTCATGGACTGCTCGGTCATGCCCATACGGCTATGTCCCACGTGAGACTCTCCATGTTGCTCGCTATCATCATGTGGATGTCCTCTATGACATGAGTCGGTCCTACCAAAATCTGGTTCATCCTCAATTGCATGGTGTTGTACGTCCCTGTCTAAGGCAAGTGAAGGAGCTGCTGGTGCATTTGTACTCAAAGTCGTACCTTCTTCCTTGAAGGGGAAGGAATCCTCAATGAATTTAATATCACGAGAAATAAAATGACGGCCATTTTCAAGATCAAAAACTTTCCAACCCTTCTGAGAGTATGCATAGCCCAAAAAAACGCACTTCACCCCACGCGGTCCAAACTTGTCACGTGTGGTACATGTTGCATGTGCATAACATAGACAACCAAAGACCCTAAGTTGATTATACACAGGCGGTTTATTATATAGCAATTCATAGGGACTTTTGTTGTCTATGACTGGTGAGGGCAATCGATTTATCAAGTACCCAGCGGTTAAAACGCACTCACCCCAAAATTTTATCGGCAAATTTGCATGAAATCGTAGAGTTCTAGCCATGTCCAAAATATGTCTATGCTTTCTCTCGACTCTACCATTTTGTTGGGGTGTGTAGACACACGATGTTTGAAATATTATTCCCTGCGTCAAAAAATATTCTTGCAGACTGATAAATTCTTTGCCATTGTCACTTCGCACTACTTTCACATTTTTGTTAAATTGACGACTAGTCATGGCAATAAATTGTTTCAAAATATTTTTGACCTCACTTTTATCACGCATAAGATGAACCCACACAGCTCTAGAAAAATCATCAACCACAGTCAAGAAATAACGAGCACCACACGTAGATAATGTTCGATAAGGACCCCAAATATCGCAGTGAATTAATTCAAAGGGCTCGACAGCACGAGCATTATTAATAGCAAAACTATCACGTGTCTGTTTACCACGCAAGCATGCATCACACACATTATTCTGAACGGAATTTAACACACTTTTATTTAAATAACCAAGCAACTGTAAAACTCTCACTGACGGATGCCCCAATCGAGAATGCCACAAGTCACCTGAGCCTGAACTCCCCACCGCATGCGCTTGTCCTCGATCCAGACTCCGGAAATAATAAACTCCCCCTCGTCGGTCACCCACTCCAATCGGCGTCTTCGTAGGTAGGTCCTGTATCACACACAAATCATTAGTAAAAAATATATCACATTTTCGGTCATCAACCAGCTTCCCCAAAGAAATTAAATTGCATTTCAGTCCAGGCACTAGTAAAACATTATGTAATGTCAGTTGGGAGCTGAGTAAGACAGTTCCCACGTGAGTAGCTTGGGTGATGTCACCATTCGGCAAAGAAACAGCTACTGGTGGTATTCTCGTTAATCCCTTCAGTACACTTTCTTCACCGGTCATGTGGTATGAGGCCCCGGAATCCAAAAGCCATTCGTTATAAATTTTCATACCTGTGAGTTTTTCTTCCGACGAAGTAGTCTTACACTTTTCCATCAATTTTAAGAAATACTGCCATTGTTCATTGGTAATTTCGGGTTTGTGGAGGACTGCTTCCTTCGGTTCATGCATGACTGGTCCATCATCTCGATACTCACCGACGTGCATTGCTTGCACTGCCCCGCGTCCATGTGTCCGTCCTGTTCCTCCACGGCCTTGTCCACCACGGCTGGGTCCACCGCGGCTTCGTCCTCCACGTCCTCTTCCCGCGTTTTCATACCACCAATCCGGATAATTTCCGGTTCGGCGGAAACAGTTTTCCACCTCATGTCCAGTTTTGTGACAAAAGGTGCATTTGACTTTTTCTTCCCTTGCTCCAACGTTGGTTGTAGTGCGAGCAGCAAAAGCCACCACCTCAGGCTTTTCTTCCTTCCCTTTCGTTAGGTTCTGAAGCCGTTCCTCTTGTATCACAGCGTGATACACCTTGGTGAGTGAAGGGAGCTCATCCAGACGTAGTATATTGGAACGTAGGTTCCCATAATTTTCATGGTCCAGACCCATTAAAAAATCATGTATTTTTTCCTTCTCCACATGTTTAAGAAACTGTTTGTTGAGATTACATGTACAGGCACCACACTTACACTGTGGGATAGTCCGAAGTTCATCATAGTCATCCCATAGGCCTTTGAGTTGCCCAAAGTAGGTTGTTATGTTTTGTCCGTTCTGGCGGCAATTCCGGATCTGCTCTTTCAACTCGTGTGTCCGCATCGCATCTCCCACGGAGAACCGCTGCTCCAAATCATTCCACAGATCACAAACACTTTCCATATAGACCAGATTGGTTCGTAGAGGCTGGTCTACCGAGGTCATAATCCATCCCACGGCCATGGAATGGACAGTCAGCCAGTCTTCTAGATCTCTTTCGTTGTTCTCGGGTCGTTTGATAGTTCCGTCAAGAAACACCAATTTCCGTTTTGCACGGAATGCATTCTTCATGGACGTCGCCCATTCTCTGTAGTTGCTCTCTCCTTTCAACACTACCCCGCAAATATTCTGACCGGGGTAGTCCGAGCTTGACAGATAGTAAGGTGAGGCAGGGTCATTGATTTTCCGACGCTCAACTTGGTCTCCAGCCATTGTTACGTCGTCTCGGCTTCTGGTTCGGCGGAAGTATTTAGCCCAGAACGTCTACCGCTCTGATACCATGTCAAAGAAGGCTACGTAAGGGAAGAAAATATTGTATATTCACTTGTGTTTTGGAAGGATACATCGGTGGAGTTATATACATCAACGCATGTGTTCATGCGGCTAGACTATCGAGATTACAGGAGGAAAAGAAGGAAAGAAAATAAGTGCTATATAACTTCCCATCTAGGTAAAACACTACTAAGTACGTACAAAAAATGTGACAAAAAATAAATGTACATATAATATCTTCAACAGAATCTAAAGGTGAATCGGACAAGCAATTGGGACAAAGGGTCAAATGGGAGTCAACCCGGTCAACCATGGGATAACGTCAATGTTTGTTGCAAAAATGAAACATAAAATATGTATTACGGAGGATTATATATTCAATTAAATATGTAAAGTCAAGAATTACTTTCATTTAATATATATAATAAAGGCTATAAGAGTAAAATAAAATTATTGCACCAATTTATAAAGTTTCTTTACAAAATTCAAGATATATTTGGATTTATAGGATAATATGTAATCATAATATTTATAAAAAATTATCATTATGATTGATAGATGTAATATAATGATTATTTCTTAAATATGTAATAGTTTATTAATATAATAATAGCAATATCAATAAAATTAGTTTTTATTTTGATTACTAATTAATAATTAATAATAGAGGTAATTCCTTTAATTGGAGTAAATAAGAGCTAAATTGCAAGAATAGGAATATATGTATTAAATTGGGGGTTTTCTGCCTAAAAAATAAAGCTTATTTTCATAAATATGACTAATAGTTACTACAATGTAGCGTCATGGTATGTAATTTAAGTTTAAAAATTGAACAAAAGTTACAATAATTCCTTTATTACTCTAGTCACTAATCACATTTTTGTAAATAAAACAATCTTTATTTTAATTATATATATATGCACTTATTTCTATTAAATTATCTAAATAGGAGTAACTCTTCACATCCTACAATTTTCAATTAAAAAGAAAAAAAGTAAGAAAGTAAAATCCTAAAAACCAAAAATTATACACAGGTCCATGTCTCCGTCTCTGCCACTTTCTAGCATTGCTGGCTTCAATCACTTAAAAAATGCTACCTTGAATAAAAATGTCATCTTAATGGATGAAAATCCGAGAGCAAGTTTTGGCATTTTCAAAGAACATGCTTATAACATTTTCATAGAAATATGTTTTTTTTACACAAAATGACAATTTCTTCCGACATTCGGAGATGATGGTGATGGGAGGTGGCAGAGACAACATAAGAGGCCTCCATACTTATTTTTATGCTCTTTACTTATTTTCTTTTAATTTTCACTCTTTTTTATTGTATTTTTGTAGTTTTTTTGTTCAATTTTTAAATTTTATTACTCCGTAATACTTTTATGTTTTTATTATAAATAAAAAATGGTATTCTGTTATGAAATGATAGGAGTACAATAGGAAAAGAGAGTACAATTATCTTACTGTACTTTATTTATGTTTTTGGGAATATAAATATTACTACCTCTGTCCCAATTTACTTAGCCATCTTTGACTTTTTCAATCAAAGATGGAAAACTTTGACCAATTATTTTAAATAATATATTTACGCAAAATTGAATAATTTAATACTTTATGATAATATTTTTAACAAAAAACATTTTCATATCATTTTCATATTTTCAATACTTTCTCTACAAAAACATATAACGGTCAAAGTTAGGCGCAATCTTTTTAAGTCAACTGTAGTCATTCAATTAACTTTTCAAGTTACCCAAATATAACTTAAGTTTTGTGTGCACCCCCATATATATTCCTATTTTTCCTATGTGAAATTATTTTAGCAATTTTTTTCTCAATAATGATAGAGTTAGCCTTAAAATGTTACGAGAGTATAGAATAAGATCGGCCAAAGAAAACTTTTACATGACGACCAAGTGGTCGAGTTAGTGATGTGTATCAGTGTATGCAAACCTAAATGTGCTTCCTGGGTTTGAAAGATTTTTTTTATGAAATTGGCGAGTTAAGTTAAATTCCTGGCTTTCAAGAAACATGGGTCCGGTCCTAGTTCTTATAACAGAGGCTTTACCTTGATATATACTGTATATAATAAAGGTTCAACATATAATGTTCTTAGTTAACCTTAATTGCAAAAGTAGCCACAAAACTAATGATATAAGAAATAGTGATAAATATATGACTAAAATGAAGTTGATAAATAAAAAAGTGATATTTTACCCTTTTATTATAATTGCACCTTTAATGAGTATAATTGTGGTGTGTTGTAAATTTTTGAGACCATGACAATACATTTACAGTAATTCTGATTATATTTGTGTTCATATATTTTATTTCAATAATATATAAAGAAAAACTTCATCAATTAAATATAAGATGATAAACTATTTTTTTCCTTAAAAAAGGGGAAATGTGTAAATATACCCCTGAAGTATAGATGGAGATGCACATATACTTCGGAACTTCTAAACAGTGTGAAAACACCCATCATGTTCCTATAAAGAAGCAAATTTATCCTTATTGACTTTACATAAATAAATAAATAAAAATACTAAAAATAAAACTATAGATTCAAAATTGAAAGATTCAACAAATAAAAAAGTGTTTCATAACTTTACTATATATGTACGATTCTTCCACAAAAGCGTTAACATATGTGTTTTAACGTAAATAAATAAATAAATAAATAAATAAAAATACTAAAAAATATTTAGTTTTTTCACAATAAAACTAAATATTTTGTACGATGATTAAAAGTCCACGGCTACAAAATAATGAATTTAATTTTATTAAATTTAAACAAAACCAAAGAATGTTATTTGAAAACATGTAACAAGGTGTTCAAAATTAAGCAACAAGATTAAAATTAGTATTTATGAATTTGAAGTGCTTCATTTACAAGGGGAAAAAATTGCAATTCAAAATTAAAGAGTTAATATTTAACACAAAATAAATATTTATTTTTAACTCTTTATTTTTTTAATTCAATTTTGAAATTTCAATTTACAATTTATTTTCTCTTTTTAAATTTATTTTATTTATTTAAAGTCAATAAGGGTAAATTTACTCCTTTAAGGAACATTAAGGATGTTTTTGCATCTTTTAGAAGTTTAGGAGTATATACTTCAGGGGTAAATTCTCAAGAACGCAATTCTTTTTTTTTCATATTAAAGATTATTTTAAAATTATACTAATATATTACAAGTTATTTTAAAAAATAAATAAATTCTCATTTGGCATATTTCATAATTATAAGAGATAATTCCCTAAATAGAAGTAAAAACGTTTTGAAATTCCAAAATAGGAGTATCATGTTTTTGATTCTCTGAATAGGAGTAAATTTTTGCCAAGTTTGGTTTTACCAGGCTTTAAAGATGGCAGTTGCTTCCAAACTTGTCAGATTACTCATATTCAAGGAATAAAAAACATGATACTCCTATTTTGGAATTTTAAAACATTTTTATTCCTATTTAGGGCAATTTCTGTAATTATAATTATTAGTTTTACTAGTATTTTACTTTTCATTATAGCATTTTAATTTTTTTCTGACACCTTATAGCATTTCAAGTTAAGAAACGAAATACTCCATACTGCGTATGCTTCATATTAAGTTTAGGAGTATATACTTCAGGGTAAATTCTCAAGAACGCAATTTTTTTTTTTTTCATATTAAAGATTATTTTTAAATTATACTAATATATTACAAGTTATTTTAAAAAATAAATAAATTCTCATTTGGCATATTTCATAATTATAATTATTAGTTTTACTAGTATTTTACTTTTCATTATAGCATTTTAATTTTTTTCTGACACCTTATAGCATTTCAAGTTAAGAAACGAAATATTCCATATTACGAAATATTTTAAAGTTTATCTTTAAAAGTATGAAGTCATAATGTTAGAGTCCCACACCGGAAATATTTGAATCAACGAAGTGCTATATTAAGACATGGACTCAGTGGCGGAGCCAGGAGTTGATGTCAGTGGTGTCAATTTAGCAAAACAATATTATATAATAATGTGTACATATATAAATAAAAAAAGCAAATATTGTCATTATCTTCAAACTTTCCTTTTTCGTCCGTCCCAAAATTATCTCATTTTTCTTCTTTTGGAAAAGAATTTGTGGTTCACAACCATTCTTACACATTCTTACACATTTCTCTCTCTTCTGCACAACTCTCCACCACACAAAACTCACTATCTTAATTAGTGTGCCCAGCCGAAATGGGAGAAAAAACAGGGACGGAGGGAGTAGTAAAATTAAAGTACTAATTCACAACTGTCCCCGATGCGTTTTCATATTTTGAAAACGTTGTACAATTTTTTCTTTGTCAACACTTTTGAATATATATTTTTCAATAAAAGTAATTAAGACATCATTCATCATAGCATCCCCCATTCGATTGGGCAACCTGTTCTTCACGGACTTCATGGCTGAGAAGGCTTTTTCCACAGTTGCGGTGGCCACCGGTAAAAGCAAAGCTAGTTTCACAAGTAAAAAACTAATGGATACACAATATGTTTCTTTGTCTCCACCAATTTTTGAGCAAGAAGACAAGTGGAGCGACCTGCGAACGCCGACCGAGGGTTTCCGATTTCAGCGATTTGGGAATTAGGACTACGACTTACAACGTTCAATCGTTTTTTTCTTTTTGCAACGGGAGTTGGCGTTCAATCAGCCATTTGGGCATAGACTTTTCAATTCTCCTTGACTCCTTTGTTGACTTTTCAATTTGGTGTTCCAACTTTTAAAATTTTTAAATTGACCCCCATTTTTTAAAATGTTGGATGGTGTCAATTTATAATTTATGAAAGATTATCTATACCTATATAGAGAATTTTTATTTTTCAGTGGTGTCAATTATAAATTTTTAAATTTTTTTATATACCTACATATGGAAAAAAAATTCCAGTGGTGTCAATTGACACCACTGGCCAAAGGGTGGCTCCGCCACTGCATGGACTCCTCCTCCTATCAGGTTGATCTTTTAGGATGGAACCCCGTGTTTTAACATGGTATCAGAGCCAAATCGATCC